TCTGATTTTAACACCTTTTCATTGCCAGCCCTGAATCCCCTGGAATACTAAGAGAGAAACCACATCTCTAATTACAAAATTAGTGACAGTGCCACCATAATTGGAGTTAATAATGCAACACAGTGTAGAGAGATATTGATATTGTGTAGTTAGTGCATGTTTTTAATGCAGTGGGTACAGATCGAATGCTTCCAGTTTGCAGTAATGGCTGCAGGTGCAGGTTTAATACCCTAAAAATGTAATTGAAAAAAGAATCTTGGCCAAAATTTAAAGGAAAACGCTAATATTAATGTAACACTTTAGTCATGTAACATTTTACCCTTTTTGATTTAATTATACCAGGCACTGTCCCACCATTCAGTGTTTTAATTCATTTTGGTCAGTTTAACAGTAAACAAGGATCCCTGGCCACCCACAGCACGGCCCCTACTGAAGGTGTGGCCAAGACAAACATTACACACTTACATGTAGTAATGTCCATTCATACTGACAATGGGAGCTCTGGTAGGCTAAAAGCAGTCAGCTGATACTTTCAGTCAATCATCGCTGCTTATTGCTGATCAGGCTATTACTTCCTCATTAGCCAAAACAGGGGATGAGCTGTTTGGGATGCTCACTTAGCATTGAAATATAAAATGTTAAAAACTGTTTAATGCTGAATGAAAAGAAGGAACTAGGGGACTCCAGAATCTATAATTAGTTTATTTAGATGAACCAGATGCTTTGCCTTTAAATATAATTATGCTTAAAATTACCATGTTAGTATATATATTTTTTTAAATTCACTTGCCATTCTACATTCCATAGACAAAGACTATATAGGGTAATTACATTTAACTAAGGTATAATACGAATTGCAGGGAGGCCATCAAGACTATAGAAAAAAATCTAGAGACATATATAATAAACAAGCTACAGAAAGCTATTTGACTCAGATATGCAAAAAGGTATACAGCAATACTGATAGACTGCATCAAGATATGGCATGGATAATTTAAATCTACATTTAAAAAGAAAAACAAGTAAACCAAGAAAAGACAAGATAAGGTAAACATGAGAAAATTAAAGACTGAAACTTTCAGTTTACAATCTGGTAATATTGAGAGCAAAGTCAAACAATGTCCCAAACTATGAAAATAAATGAGGTTTCAGAAATACTGGACGATTAGCCTTATGTTACCCTGGGCAGAAAAAGTTCTAGTTTCTGCATAGCATTGTTTCAGCACGGGTCTGGTGACTCAGTCAAAACATGGTTAGAGTGTCAGGGCCAACGTTCGTGGCCAGCTCTGTGGTGTATGGAAAATGTCCTACAAGTTCTGGTGAAGCTAGGTAAAATTGTTTCACAGCAATACCTCTTCTAGGACCCCATCAGTAAATGATGCCTCTGTCCCTCAAAACTAAAGTTAATAATGACAATTCCCTGAGCCATGTATCATAAGAGAAGTGTCTAAAAATAAGAAATGACAGATTGCAAAACTGAATTGCTGGAGAAGTGTGCAGTAACCAAGGGTTTAGAGGTTTGTCGTCCACCGTCACCATCAGAGCTATCACGTCCCATGGGGTATCTATTGGAGCCAAGACTGCTCAACATGCTCTATATGCCTGGTCAACTGATATGGGATTGCCTCTTCCTGCATTACAATAGGTTCGCAAAATAGGTTCTACATAGGCCCACAGATCTTTAGTGGTGACTGTTTCACGTTTGCCTCTAATATGGATTTTTCATGCTCATTTCTGGACAACACAAGATTCAAATTCCTCTAAGTCAGAGTGAGTGACCTTTGGCAATCCAGATGTTGTAAAGCATATCGCCCATAATGCACATACAGCCACAATGCTGGCAAGATGTAGTCCACAAAATCTGGAGTTCCAAAGATTGTCTATCCCTGCTCTAAGTGATTTGCAACAGTCTTTCAAGGAACCAAAACAGAGGGAGTTTTTCATGCCATTCTCCAAGGTATGTATCCTTTTGGTCAGTGCACCAACTGTGAAACATTGCCTTATAATCTCAAAGGAAGCATTTCATTACCCTTTAGCAGAAGGTACAGTGTCATCAGTCCAAAGCTTGGTATCAAGAGGGATGGAGTGGATGGTTCTCAGCCTCATCTTGTGAACGTTCCTCTGAGAAGACTGAAGTAGCAAGGCCTTCTGGCTCCATTTTGGGAGGTTCAGTCTGTGCTCTTTGAACTAGGTATGACTCCAAATCTGATTGTTTAAAGAGGATGTTGCCTAATTTATTAGACTTCCATCCCTTTCTTGTCATGGAGGCACAATAAGGTAGAGCTAGTTGGATAAGCAAAAGCAGGTCAGAGCAAGTAAATACATTGTAAATACTTCTAATGGAGAAGTTCTGAACTCTGGTGTCCTTCTCCTAACTCAGTCAACTGCACCTTATCAATGTTACTATTTTAATCTTGCTCACACAGGCCTCTGAAATGATACAAGGAATTTTGCATAGTCACACATAGTTGTGTGTAATCTCTTGTCTGATTACAATGTTGGATCACCATAACACAACACTATAGGTGACGCAACCATGTAAAACAAATCTATGGAAATTCATCCCTAAAACGGTTAACAATAATGATATTTAAATGAGAGCAAGACATTTTGTCTCCTATGAAAAATGTATTTTGACTGTTTTAAATAGTAAAGTCAAACTTGTTCTTAATATTCATTATTGTAAACATTTGCATTGAGTATCCTATTACTATAACTACAGTAGAGGCAATCAGTTTCTTATTGTCCAAATAAACAGATCTATACACACATTGTATTTTTTGGTATAGTGAGATACATTTTATTGAAGTATACTGTTTCATTTAACTTGGTAGTACAGACAAAAAGCCAGTAGGCAGCTATCTGTAGTCCAGAATACTGATATTCTTCTGAAGTCAGTGATGTAAGTTAACAGCATTGCAGCATGTTCTAAGAATAAAAAAAATAAAAAATCACTGAGAATGAAGTTGGCTTCATGAAAGGTACGTATAAAAGCAACTGCAAGACAGTGGAAATGCTCTGTGGTCCTGTTGCTATTCCCAGCCATAGAAAATAAGTTTTCTGCACAATATTTTCCAGTCAATTGAAGTTCTGTGAGTAAATCAAACGTTTTGGAATGTTTCAAATATGTTGTGCCAGAGTTAGAAATAATCCATAAAGGCGGAATCAAACAACTATCTGGGTCGGTAACTGCACTTTTTGTAAAATATATATCTGGTTTACTAAGTGGGCTGAACAAAAATGGTGTAATGTGATCTAAAAAAGATACAAATAGCAAAAAAAAAAGAAAAGAAACTAAATTTAAATAAACCAAATGACAAATCTTTAAATTCTGTATAATGATGCATATCAAGCATATCAATACACAATTTAAATAATTAAATAAAAGCCAACAGTAATAATCTTGTATCATATAAATTCAATCAATTAATGTTTTGTACGTGCTTTCAAGTACTGAATCGTTTTAACTGAATGTCTATTTTTTAGTTAATAATATTCCAATATAATGAAAGTAATAGTGATTTTCTAAATTCCAGAGAACTCCGTGAAGATCCCAGTGCATTCCATTTTAAGCAAGTTATATTTAAAAGAAGGTAAAATATGATGAAGAAATAAATCACGAGAAATGAAAGATGATCCTTTTAACAAGGTTTGACTGCACTAGACGCATGACGTGATGTGTATTTTTAAGTGAATCGTCTCTACTAAATCAACTACTGTAATCTAAAGGAACCATAAGGGATATACTCTAAGTGGTGATAAAACTAATTAGTAAGACAAAGTGTTATTCTGCCTATGACTCCAGAGACTCAAGCAATGCAGGCTTTAATGATATCCTCACTTGAGAAAAGATAAAATTGAGGTGTTCATTAAAGGGACAGTGCACCGTTTTGTTGTCAAGGTTGCATGCATGTAATCAGTTCAGCATCCCCTCCATGAGTTTGGGCCTCTAACATATCAAAATACTTTTTTTTTTAGTCATCACAGATATACACTCTCAATGTTTCACTACAACGGTTAATCATGTACCGGCATGTTTCCTGTTGTTGTTCAGAAAGCAAATACATTCACTTCTGTTTCCAGGCTCTTCACCAGTCCACCAATGTTCTAACCCAAAAACTGATACATCATCTTTTATTCTTTCAGCTTTTTAATTAAAAACTAAAACAAACAAACACAAATATAGACTAAGTTGGATATTTTTTAGGTATATTTGTGCATCATCCTTTGTGAATATCTAGTTATCTGAAAATATAGCAGCACGTCAGTGCAACAAGTATGAAGACATGGCTAAAAAGTTCCATTAAATTTCTGCCTCAATGTGATGTCTGGTTTGTAAAAAAAAAAAATATATCACAATGAGGAAGAAATGTAATCCAAGGCAATTACCAACCCTCACTGAAGTGAGTAATTAGGTGGGTGGTAGTGCATAATGTCTCTGCACTACCACCCACCTAATTACTCACTTCAGTGAGGGTTGGTAATTGCCTCACTTAAGATTTCTTCCCCTTTTTTTTCACATTGCATATGTCGTTCATTACTTGATTGAACCTCGTTTTCACTTTTCACCCTCCAATCATGTTATACTACAGGGTATTTAATGAATTGTTGCACACCATCAAATTGGCTTGAAAAAAGTCCAGATAGGACTGAAACATCGACCCTTTTTTGTAATATTTGATGCTTCAATAAACAAATACTATGGAGTCCTGTGAGTGCACTTCAACAAGTTTTTATATATATTCTAAATTCTAAAACAGAATTAGGGACATGAGGTGGCAGACTGGAGAAGGATTAGGGAGTGACTGGGGAGGTTAGGTGGCAATCTGGAAAAAAATAGGGAAGATTTGTGTCAGGTTTTGAGGGAATTAGGACATTTAAATTGCAGCTTGGAGAGGGATTGAGGAGGGTAGGAGATAGTTTGGGGAGGTAGTTAGCCAAGCATACATAGCAGACTAGGAAGGAGCTGGTAGGAAAAGGTGGAAGACACAGACACTTACCTTTGTATCCGTGGCTCTGCTCCTCACGTCCCCACCACTGCTGATGACTCCTGCCGGCTCCTGTGCTCATACCACAAGCCAGCTCACAGCAAGGTGCAGCCCTGCCGAAAAGTGAGCAGTGAACTTCTGGCTCGCAGTGCATGTGCGAGCGCTGGAACTTCACTGCGGAGCATTTATATGACAGAATGCCCGGCCGGCACAGGTTTGCCTCCATCTCCTGACATCCCTCATTTTTAAAAATTTTAGGTGACCTCATAGCTCGCCCCGGCAGAGGGGCTGATGGGGGGAAAGGCTCTCCCCAAATTAAAATTATTATAGTAAATAATGACACAATGGGACAAAAATAAATACACTGCTCAAAAAAATAAAGGGAACACAAAAATAACGCATCCTAGATCTGAATGAATTAAATATTCTTCTGAAATACTTTGTTATTTACATAGTTTAATGTGCTGACAACAAAATCACACAAAAATTTAAAAATGGAAATCAAATTTTTCAATCCATGGAGGTCTGGATTTGGAGTCACACTCAAAATTAAAGTGGAAAAACACACAACAGGCTGATCCAACTTTGATGTAATGTCCTTGACCCCTTAAGACCGGAGGGCGTACTATTACGCCCTACTTTAGGCGGCTCTAAACGCCGCCAGGCGTAATAGTACGCCCTCCAGTCTTTCTTTACTTACCCGGTCGCCGGCGGTCCAACGCCGGCGATCACGGTTGGGGGGACTCCCAGGGAGCCCCCCCGCGGCACATCTTCCTCCTCACAATCACATGGCCGGGATAGCTGCCTCCTGCATTGCCAGCAGGGGGGTTGCCTGTAATGACAGGTGGTCCCCCTGCTGGCTGGAAATAAAATAAATAAAAGTTAATCAGGGAAAAATATAATATATACTTAGATTATATATATATTATATATATATATGATCTAAGTATATATATATACACACACACACGTACACTGTATAGGTGTATTTTACTATTAATATATATATAATTATATATATATATTAATATCAAATTACACGTAGACTGATACTGATTAAATATATATATATAATTATTGTTATATATATATTTATATATAATATAAAAAAATTAAATATGTAAATACGTTAAAAAATAAAATTAAAAAATAATTAAAAAAAAATAATTAAAAAATATATAGATGTGTGTTATTTCGTTCTAACTGTATTGTGAAATTAATATATATATATATATATATATTTATATCAAAATACATGTAGAACTAAATAATATATATATCTATATACATAAATATATACGTATATTTTAAAAAAATTATATATATAAATATACATATATATTCACATACGTATATATATATATATATATATATATATATATACATACATACATACATACACACACATACATATATTAATTCTACATATATATTTATGTAATATTTTTACATAATTGGATATCTTAATTAGTTACAATTAGCGGGACCTGCCTGACAACCCATGCCGAAAGTAAAGGGAATTTAATTTGCTAGCACTATATTTAACCCGAAAAAGAACAGAGTGTATAGGGTGTTGAAAATATTCAACTCCCCAAACTCTGTAGAGGTTACAAGAGGTATAGGGGGCTTAACCCCAACAAACTATGCGAAAAAAGAGAAGAATGGACTGGAAGACCACCAGAATACAATACAAAGGTGGAACACCTGTTCATTCATAAATCTATACCTCACGAGAATATATGTACTATATATAACGGGTACTAAGACCTTTAATAGAAAAAGACATACATATAAAAATTATATATATAACTGGCTATAAAAAATTGCCAGAGAGGGGTTCCCCTGAGGGATATTTAAAGTGAGTGAGAAAAGTATTCACAACAGCTAACTAGAAAAAATCCTCATTGTAAGTTCTATAAATTGCCTGGCATAGAAAACACTGTTATAGAAAGAACCGAACAAAAGGTATTGTGTATACACAACAGATTTATCCAGGACTTTATAAAGAGGCAGAGAGGGGAGAGAGGGGTTGCAAATAAGGGTAAATGTATCAACAGAGTGCAGTATGAATAATATGAATGTAAGGCTAATAGCCAAGAATATTTGCTGCCAAAAACAACAAAATGCACCAAAAAAATACCCCAGCTGGCCCTGAACTGCTAGCTGACTCCCAAATTACCAGGGAGATAAAATAACTATCTGCTGCTTCAAGGCAGCCTAAAGGTAATCCCTAATACCCCAGCTCCCATCTGCCTAAATAGACCCTAAATGGTCATGAAAGGAACAAAGAGGATGTCTAGTTAAATAAGAAAAAAATAAAATAAAAAAACACAAAAGAAACTCAAAGTGAATGCATCGGCATTGCTAATTTGCTCGACGCGCGTTTCGGCGTGACTAACCGCCTTTGTCAAGAGCTGAAAAGTGTCTGTGTGGATGTCCGTGTTAAAAGGGGTAAGTAGGTCCCGCCCCTCACATCCTAGCAGCCAATCGCTATCCCGAACGTCACTCTTACCGGGTTCATAACATTAGTTCCTCCCAGTGTATCTCATTAGCCAATGGGGGACCCGGAGGTGAAAGGGAGGCGTGGTCAGGCTCCGGACCACGTGGGGTATGTGGTAAGTGCCTGCCGCGGGTCTGTGGGCTTAGAACCGCCCCTTGGATATACCGCACCTGTTGGTTTCCCATTTGTCAGATGGCAAGTACAGGGGGCGTGTTAAAGCTCCGTTCATATTGTGATCTGGCAAAACGAACACTGTGAAATTATGGTTACATTTCGAAAATGGATAGCAGTATATGATAAACAGAACATTGTTATTAGTATAAAACGGGGGGCAGAGATACTGTTCTAAATATAAGACAGTACCTAAAAGAATACAATGGTCCCTCCCATATTAATGTTCATTACTGCCTATTGGAGAAGAGTATAAACCATAGACACATAGCTAGAAACAGTTTGTCTCCTTTTATTGAGATTAATATCCTGATTGGAGAGACAAGTGGAGATGTTATATAGTTATGTTGATGAATAAAAACAGTGATCACAATTGTAATGTATTTACCCGAAAAATGTGGGCATTAAATTAACAATTAAGGCAGGCACCAGAAAAAACGGAAGGAGAGCGGTATGAGCGAAAATGAATAAAGTACTTAATGATATCACATCAAAAATTAAGCGTCACCCAACCATGACCGGCGACATTGAGACAGGATAAGTGTATCAAGTGAAAAGGTGAATTCGCTTGATAGAAATTGATAGAGTATGCGGCAAAATAGTAGCAGGTACATACTCCCAATTAGATACTAACTCAGAGGAAATAGACAGATAAAGTCTTATTCCACATACTTATATATACTTCAAGTAGACAATCACATTGTTTCAAATGAAAGGGGAAAATGAAAAGCCCTCATTAAGTCCTTTAGGATAGAGGGTGTTGAGTTTGTAAATCCATCTGCATTCCTTTTGGCGTAAAATTTTGTCGAAGTCTCCTCGTCTGGGCTCACGTTTGACCAACTCAAGACCACAGAAGCGTATGTTTCTAGATGAACCATCATGATGTTCTTTAAGGTGTCTGGAGATAGGGGTCTCTACCCGGTTTCTGGTACATCTCACATGTTCTTTTATGCGTTCCTTGAAGGGCCTAAACGTCTTCCCCACGTACATCATTCTACAGCTGCACGTGAGGAGGTAAACCACTCCTACCGAGTTACAGTTAAAGAAATGGGAGATTTGAAAGACATGTTTTCCCTCACTGTCTCCTACTTTCTTAGAATCCCTTAGGATAAATTTGCACGCTACGCATTTATCAACACTGGAATGTACCCACTGGGATTTGACGTCCCAGCCATGAAGGCTGTAGACTCTGTTTACATGAGTAATGGCTGGGGGACAGCAAATCACGGAGGTTTTTACCCCTCCTAGCTGTGATGGTGACCCGTGGGCCAAGTACTTCTTTCAAATGTGGGTCTCTAAGGAGAATAGGCCAATATTTTTGAAAGGATTCCTTTATTTCATTCCAACCGGTATCAAATGTTCCGATCATCCTGATGGTTTTATTGGTGCTAAAGCTAGCATCGGATGTATCGGACAAAAGGTCTTCCCTGTCCGTCATCAATGCTCTTTTATAGGCTCTTTTTAAACATTTATTTGGGTAGCCTTTTTCTTTGAATTGTTGACGCAGGGATTTGGCCTTGGTTTGGAAATCCCCCAGGTCAGAGCAATTCCGTCTGAGCCTGAGGTACTGACCAGTTGGAATACCTTGTTTAAGAGGCCTAGGGTGGTGACTATCCCACTTAAGAAGAGAGTTAGATGCGGATGGTTTCCTAAAGAGAGTGGTTTTCATGGAACCATCTCCGGAAATCGAAATGGTGAGGTCTAAAAAGTTCAGAGACTGGCCCCCAAATTCAGAGGTAAACCTTAGGTTATCCTCGTTGGTATTGAGGAGTGCCACAAATTTATTGAATTCATCAGCATTTCCCTGCCAAATAATCAAGACATCATCGATATATCTATACCATGATGTAATCTTGGACATAAAAGGTAACAATGTGTCGATGGTCCTGATTTGTTCTTGCCACCAACCAAGATGGAGGTTGGCATACGATGGAGCACAAGCTGTGCCCATCGCTGTACCTCTCACTTGGTGGTGGAACCTCTTATTAAATAGGAAGAAATTGTGTGTTAAGATGAACTCTAAGAGGTTGATGGTGAATTCAGTATGTGCCTGATGTTCAATACCTCTTTTATTCAAGAAATGCCTTATATGTTCAAGTCCCCTTTGATGCGGAATGGAAGAATATAACGCTTCAACGTCAAGGCTACATAGATTAGATGTTGGTGGAATATGTAAGTTCATAAGGAGATGCAAAGCCTGTTTTGTGTCTCTGATGTAGGATGGCAGGCTTTCTACAAAGGGTCTGAGGATACGGTCAATGTATAGGCTCCCATTTTGTGTCAAATTATCAATCCCCGAGACTATCGGACGGCCTGGTGGATTCTGGATGTTTTTATGAACTTTAGGGAGGCAGTAGAAGGTTGCTATCCTAGGACAGGGGTTGAGGATAAAACGATACTCCTCATCGGACAGCAAACCTTCCCTGCGTCCCTCGTCCAAAATCTCTTTGTAGCTCTTAAGAAAGGCATTTGTGGGGTCTGATTGAAGGACTGTGTAGGTATCCCTATTACTGAGGACATCCTGTACCATTCTTTCATAATTAGGTCTGTCCATC